AAGGGAAACGTCAGCTCAACTCATATTATTGTGGGAAAATTCTACTACCAGTCCTTCATCACCTTAAACGCAATAGGATGAATACATCTCATTATATTTAGTCTTACTATAGCCCGGCTTCGGCGATCATATTACGCACAATTGTTCACGGCATCCGGTGTCTACAGATGTTCATCGAAATTGTCATTTGGGAGTTAAAATTCTGAAGCTAGATGATGCACATGATCAGTCAAAGAGAATTGCCCCAGCCTTGAAAAGCCCTCACAACCATGAAATTTTTATTCTATTTTATATTCTGATTACACTAAGTTGTTCTCCTTCATATTGAATTGGAAGTTCATATTTCTTTTATAAAATTGCATTTCAATATCAAGGCTCACATATGGAGATTTTTGATGTGGTACATTCGTTACTAGTTTCTTTCTAAGTTATTCTAATGCTTACAGATTCCAATATCCTTTTGCATCTCTTTTACCCCCAAGACCGACACCGTGCCATATCCAGCCTTCTATTGGCGCAAGACAACTATCAAGTTTTAATCAGTCTCCTATATTTTCTTATAGTGTTTACCATAATGAGAACTGCAAAAGGTCGGCTATCTTTTCGTCCTCATACACTTTAGTAAAACATGATTAAATAAGTTGACAAGATTTGATAAATGAAAAAAGGCTCTGCATGAATTCTTATTAAAAATAAAGATAAAGATTCTAATAAAGAGGTATTAAAATAAAATGGGATTACATGCTAACATAGATTGAGTGAACAAATTATATCACACACCTCATCCACTTTGTATGTCATTGAAGTGTTATCAAGTGGCAATGCTTCTGTGTCTGCTGAAACTAGGTCCTCACTGAGAGAACTGGCATCTGAGGGAAAGAGAAAAAAAATCAATAACTGCACAAACAATAAACTTTCGCATCTAAGCACTGACAATTTTTGTCGATACTAGTTTATGAATGGAAGACTAAGTGTCTAAGCATTTAAAATTTTACTTCATGAGGTTTTGGGAAATCGATTAATTAAGATAATTAGACTCTGATGATATGTTGTTTCTTAACTTTAGGTATGAAGACCAAAATGTTAACATATTTTTTATCATTTATTTTTTTAAGTCTAATAGTGCACAATATATATTTTCGCTTAACAGAAATTTAAACCTTGAAAAAGGAGTTCACAGCTAAATGCATGAATGTCGAGTTTCTAATTGGTTAAATAAAGCATATCTTGCTATTAGAGTTGAAGATACCTAAGAAAAAATAAAAGGAAAAATAGGCATGAAATCCCATTATGTCTTCATCCCAAGGCCAGTTCAATTGATGTTTTTGGAACTCTTATCTCCAGCATTACGACTATGTCTGACCTTTCCACCGCTTATAATTATTCCTTTTTATGAGTCTGGTGGCCTGCCTCCATAAGGCACTATGTAATCGCGCTTCTGATATTCCATAAATCCCCAGTCCAAAATTATTGTGGAATATGCCTAGGAGCACGAAGAATAGGCTTTTGTTACTTCAATTGAATCAATTAGTGGTAAGAGCTGCAAGATAATCTCTTAGTACAAACGACGGCAAAAAAACAAAATCAAGCATCCTAACCATCCTTGGAATAGAAATTATTGCAATCGAATCATACAAGGTATAATTTTAAGTTCAATAAAGATATAAAGGTATACGCAAATCTGGCTTTGGGATGAATTATTAGCTTATCTAATTGCCTAGGTAGCAAATATCGATATGTTCTCTGTAGACAGAATCTGCACAAGTATAATAAACGAGACAGTTGTGTTGAGCTTGTGGTAATCTTAAAAATGCAAAATGTTTCCATGTAAGGCTGCTTCGTATCCTTTAAAGTGACTTAACTTAAACAGAGAACTAAATAATAACGCTAAGGGCATTTGAGAGACTGATTATCTTCCTTTTTGCAATTAATCCATTTGCAGGCATAATCTAAGATCTTTAATTGCGGAGAGACTCAATACAAGGACAAGAATATAATAATATAATTTTATTCCGTAAATAGAGCTGGGATATGTTAGAGCGAATCCGCTCGGGCGAAAAAGATAGTTTTATTGAAATTATGAAGATTAAGATGGTGTGGTCCTTTTTATGGTCGCAGTCTCCTTCCGTTGTATAGAAGTTGTTTGACCTTGTTTTCGCAACTTGGTCATATTGGTAGGAAGACTTATATGAACTCATTTTGTCCTGAGTCCATTTTATGCACGGTCCGACTTTGGAAATAATTATGCATAAAATGGACTCAGGACAAGGTGCGTTCATATAAGTCTTCTACCAAGATAGTTTTATCTTTAGAAAAATAACATCGAACTTGTTACAAGCATGCCTTCGTGGCTTGGCCAAATTCATTAAGAGGTTTCACATCGCATACCAGAAGCCAAGTTCATTGTAGTTGTGCTAATACTTTATCTATGCGCGAGGAAATTGACTAAATACATTACAAGACGCTTCTCGGGTAAGTTCTAGGTCAAAAATTTAGAAAATAAATGATAACTGGAATGGGGTTTGAAATCTAAATCGACAATCTATGCCGTTTAGACTGAATTAAAATTAATATTCTTCAATTTATAGAGAATTAATAGTTTCGCCAAAATCATTGACAGGGATAGCTCTGTATGTAAAATTGACTATTTAAAAGAAAATAACTTTTCACGTAATAGATATTCTGAATGTAAATGTACAATACCCACCCAAGTCTACCGAATCTCCAATTTTTCCATCATCAGCCAAAGTATCTTGAGTTGTTGCCATGGTTCGACTGGTGACTCGACGAGCCGATTTCCTACTTGTTGTGCCCCTGGGCAGCGCTAACGAATAACGGCGCCGACGACTAACGTTCGCTTTATTGTCTGGCCGGCTATCAGGTGGGACGGAGGTCGGTGAAGGTACCGCATCATGCTTGTCTCCCCTTTGAGCAACAGTGCGGGCAGCAGCTGGAGTATTCTTTCGCTGGTAATCAGAAGTAGCTGCAATCTTAATATCATAAGGAGTAGTGTCATTTCTGTCAGACTTATCGTCTTCTATTGGCCTCGATGAACAACCTATAAGTGTGGGCTCATCCTTATAAGATCTAGAAGTAGAGGAACCAGTATCTTCAACATCACAAGGTGAATATGACTCTGAGGATGGTATGGAATCACCAAGAGAATGTGAATGTGATGAAATATCATCATTTGGCCTGGAAGATGATGATAGCGATAATGAAGAAGTTGGGACGGATGAAGCATACGAAATAGAGGGGTTGTTAAAGTTTTGTCGAAACGATAGTTTAGACCGTGCTCGATCTTGAGGAGATAGGAAGAGAAGGGGCGCACCCCTCAGGCGCTGTGGTGAAGGAGATTTCCGCCGATGCATTCCTGAGCCGGATGGAGGTGTAGATTCGAGTAAGTTTATATCCCTATGAGTGGAGTTGGGACAGGATTTAGGTACACTTTCTGGTAAAGATGGATGAGGATCAGATGACCCAAGACTGAAAAGATACGAAAATAAATATTAAAACATTTAAGAGAAATAAGTTCAAAAACTGAAGGAATGAGACTGTTATGTAAACAGAACTATATTATATATTAATATATTAAATTTGAATAAGAAAGTAGTATGTAAGGCTATAAGCAACAATTAGAAACTAACTAAATTCAAGGACTAAGTTGTAATCGGTTCCTTAAATTCCCAACATTTAAAAAAATGTAATTTGCACAATTAAAGCATTGTGAAATATGACTTATTTAAAGTTGAACTGGCTTGTATGTTTTAAAAATTAAAGTAATTCAATTCAAATACACTTTAAAAACTATCAAGAAGTACCTATCATTGATCATAGGTTCCTTTGTACCAAGACTTCCTTGATCAGAAGCACCTCGGTGAGACTCATGCTGTCGCTTAATTGTATCCTCGAGATCACCAACTGGGCAAATAATTTCATCCTCAGTTTTGTGTCTGTCGACCAATGTAGACTTTCCGATGGATGGGCGAGCAGACAACCAGCCGAAAACCTTGTTTTGGTCAGCTGTTGCTGAAGTCAAAATGGAAGCTGTTGGAGCTTCATTTGAAGCCAATGAACAGAAAAGACCACGAGTGGGTTGATCCGATCTAGAAGTCAATCGAGACTCAAGCCGGGTAAGCAGATCAGCACCAGAATCAGACTCCGCATCAAACCGTTGAAGACTAAATAAGCCAGTCATCGGTGATGTAGCGTGTAATGAAGTTGAATTCTGAGCGGATGCCAGGCGGATTGAAACAGAAAGAGGTTTCAGTGGAGAGATTAGACACACGACTGGGTCTGCGGCAAATGAAACGCGATTTTGGTTCTTTGGTGTCCAGAAGTTCCTTAGAATGCCCGTTCGCACTGATCAAGAAGTAAAAATAGAACACTTTTATAAAAAAATATATATTAATTAAAAAAAACTAAAAGGAACCTTAATTTAGTACAAGGAATTAAGGTTAACAGTAAAGTGATGATGTTAAATAGTATAAATTTGATAGTGATAGAGATATTGTTTTAGAGTAGGTTTAGAAAATATCAGTGACGTCTCGCGAATATACGCTGCACCACCAAGAGGCGAATCCCGGTATAGGTGATGAGAACAGATGGGATTAAACCTGCAGTCCATTCTGAATCAAAATACCTTTGAAAAGCAAGGTTAAATGAAATTGCAGGGAAACCTGAAGACTTCTCATAGCGTTGTTGGAAAAATTCAACTATTAGTGTTATATCACCTTATATTACATAGAAAAAATGCAAATCTTATTTTCAAACATTTTCTATTACATTATAAAGCAATATGTGCTTACAGGAAAATGAACTCTGTGTAAGTGATGCATCCGAAAACCTGACAAATAATTTAAGGGTTCTGAATAAAGAAGAAAATTTTAAAATATGAATGCGACATCCAGGCACCATATAATGTGTATTTGCCACTAGGAAAAATAGGCTGAATTAGGTTGTTTTACAAAGGATAAGTAAGTGTACTTATAACCTCAATAGGTGATACTGAGAAAGGAAAACGCCGCTAACCTGGTTGATTTTGTTGCTTGCTAGGCGTCAAAAAATCGCAGAGTTCTGTTCCACATGCAGATGCGGCTATATCTAGTTTAACAGGAGAGGCAAGAGACAGCTGGGAATTAACTGATGGCTCAGCCTCGACAAAATGTGTTGAAACTGTGAGCGTGGGCGTCTGTGGCGAAGGCACGCTTGATAAGATGCAGGAACTTCCAGGGGAAAGCTCGTTAGCAGGCTGAGGCCAACGGTCGACGTCGCTAGAGGAAGGTATTGAAGGGCCTGGACTTGATCCAGAAGTCGCAGTTAAAGACGGTTTTTCTGGTGTAAGCAGGCGCAGTGCAGTGTAGCGTTGATGACGCTCAGCAGCCTGAGCTAAACCGAGTGCCAGCATACGCTGAGCACGAGAGACGCCTGGACCACCTGAATATGCATGTAGGAAATACCGGAAAATATAATTTTATTTGAATTTCCAAATAGTGCATCTATGTAACAAGACTTTAAGTAAACTAATCATATCGCCCTTTTAGTTAGTGGAGATTCCAATCAGGCTGAAACATTGAATCGCAGTCTCAAAAATCTAATGATAAAACGAAAATTGTTATAATTAATAGACACAATTCGACCTCGAGTTCGCAACTAAGTCTTATTTTAAAAGCGAATTCGAAGACTTATGGGTTTTGTGACACTGTTGTCATGTGATCTTCAATCATGGGATTCTGGACGAGCAACATCCCAGAACATTTTGCAGACATGTCAGTGAGCAGCATCATCCTTAGTATCAAGCTACAATACGTGAATGTGACAACTAAAGTCAAGCCGATTCTTTTCTTTGCTATACCTCCCTAGCAAATCTGTATTTTTATCCTCCAACCCAACTCTATAGAGCCAGGTATCCTCTCTACCTCGTTTTACATTCTGGTCTGTTTCGATATACTTCAGATATATCGTACATTGAATTGGCTTGGTAAAGCAAAATCACCTACGACACTAGCCTCATACTTTTGACAGTGCCTCCCGATTAAAATTTGAACTTCCTTAAAGCAAACCATTTCATTCAATTTCTACCAGCTGATCCCATGTGAACAAAAATTCCCTTCTTATATAACAGTAATCATCCGAATCCAGCCACCGCATCCACTATATTTGAAGAGTTGTTCGTATAATAAGCCTCAAAAATATTCTAAAATGTGTACAAAAGTCTCACAAAGAACGTCATTCAAAATTGTGATGCCTATGCTTGCTGCCCTTTTAATTGCAATCGGTTTCAGTGTAACGATTTTATAGTTGTCACCTATTCGCCTTTAAGGCCTAGCTTCTAAAGACTTAGACCATATATGATAACCAAATTACTCCATGTCCTTACCTGAGAAAAAATTTGCTTTGGTCCATAAATCTTCACGTATACACTTGAGGATCAACCATAACACTTCACCTTCTCCCATGTGTAATCAGTCCTAAAAGAATTGAAGTCCAGCCAGAGCATGAAATTCCACCTTAGTTCGGAATGCGTGTACTTAGGCTGTTGATTTATGATTTGTCATTTTGATGCACCCAGGCAATTTTATACTTAAATGCGATTTTAAATTATTGCTTGCCTAGAAATTCTGATCAAATAACAATTTTCTTAATAATTCGTAAGAACTGATAATGAGTATTAAGAATCTTAAGTTTTGAAAGGCTATATTGATATTTTCCAAGCTGCTAATGAAAATATCATGGCCACATTGTAGAATAAGGAAACAATAATACCAATCTACACGTGCCTAGTCCCATTCGTTGAGATAGGCCTGAGGATTATATAGGATGGTGAAA